GCTACTTTGTTGCGTGCTTGTTGGAGTCCGCTGCAGACCGCTATGAGCGTTGGGTGGAACCCGACATTCCCAGATGTTAAGGCCGCCTTGCTTTGTGGGTTGAGTTTCAAGAGTTTCTCTAACTTCGAGGTTTGCTATACTGTGGCTACCATGCCGATTCCAGTACTGCGGGTCTGCAGGGAGAGGTGGACGTCGCTTGAAAAGTTTGATTTGGGCTGCTCCTGCGCTTCAAAGCGCAACAGACAGAGAGGCTCAGGTCAGAGACTTCCAGGTACCGCCAAGAGAAGGATCGGTATGCAGTGATATCGCAAAGTGCTACGTGCTAGGTTCAGACACCTCATATGCAAGATATTTACGGTGCCATCCTTTCGTCCTCTTAGAGAAGTTTGCGGGGAGGGCGATGCGTAAAAGCCTTTGATTCAATGAGTTGCTCATGTGAGCCGCGCGAGACGATACTTTTGTCTTGCCTTTTGCTTCAGTTGTTGGCTTTTTTGCATATCGCGGAGGCCAAGACCATCGAGCCCTGGATCCTGCACGACTACGCACCAGACTCAACACTGGCTCGTGACTGTATCATGAGTTAGTGGGACATTTGCAGAGCAGCACATATTAGCAGGGGGCCTTAGCCTAACCCTAGCCTGCTAATTCACTGATGGATACAGGCCAGTTGCCGCCCTTTTTCCATGCTCTGAAAGATGCAAGGCATTTATCCTACGTATTCATTTCGATCATAGCTTCTTGACTTTTTACTAGACTGAATGCCCTCGGAGCCGTGCCAGAACAATATATATATATATATATATAATATTAGACGTATATGTATATCGACCCCGCAGCCGCCGGAGCTGAATTTATCGAAGCTCCAAGGACTCTTCCCCAGCCCACTTGATGCCGGCCGATGGGTATACAACTCGAGACCCTCGAACCTCTTCACAATCACAAAACTCCAAGTCCTTGAAGGGCACATCGGAGACAGTCTTATATGCGCACAGAACGTTTTAATCCTTGAAAAGCATATATGTTTGACCGAAGACCTGAATTCGCCAGCTTTGGGCAAAAACCTTAAGCCACAAGTCCGAAACCTTTGACCCCAACCTCTACACCCGAAGGCCTAAGCCTTATAGTCTTAGTTCCTACATCTTAGACCCAAGGCCTTCAATCCTTTTCCCAAACCTTCAGTCCCAAGATCTCAACATTCGCTGGATTTAGCCAAGCTTGAAGGAAGCTCAGCTTCTTCCAAAATCAAAATGGAAACCTGGAGACCAGACTTGTTGGTCCATGAACCCTAAACGCCCCATCTTTGAGCCCTCTAGACCCAAGACATATAGTCCAAACCCGAAGCGCTAAAGCGTAGCCCCAAGCCACGCAGTGTAAAGCCCTGCACCGGAAGCCTTAAAATCCAAACCCAAAGCCCCCAAAACCCAACAGGACGGTGACTTCTACGATTCTGAGCTCCGGCTCATAGTTTGCGGCTTCGTTCGCCCGGAGCCGGGCGCTCATGGCAACTTGAGGGCTCTTGCAGGGCTGTTTTATGGACCTTTAGTAAGAAGGGGCAATAATGAGGTTTTAGACATAAACTTGGAGGGCTTCAGGTTTCATCCTAACTTGTGACAAGACTTCTGTAAGAGTGCATCTGGAGTTTCAACTTTGTCTTATACAGTGCTGCCCGAAGGTAGGGCTGCTTTCCTTCTCGCAATTTTAGGGTCACGGGGTGAAGGTCATCTTCAGGGAGGCCCAGCGGGGGGTTCGAAGGCATGTCACTGAATGTCAGAAGGCATCCTTTCTGAAGATGCGCGAATTCGAGCCCTAATCCAGAGATGTTTTGGGTGCCAGGTGGTCGGAGCGCTTCAGAACCGTAAGTCAAGTGTGCGTACGCCAGGTATCCCCCGACCACATGCCATAGTGCTCGAGAAAAGCTCAAAAGGGTTGCTGAATGAGGGTTCAGGGTGATACACGGCTCTGCTTCGCAGTTCAAGCAACCAACGAGCCACAACAAGCCGCAACCTACCAGAGTAGTGGGATGGCCAAGGGTCCTGCCAGATGGAGGTACAAGGTATCACACTGGAAGTGAACATACTGCCCACCAAAAAAGAGCCAGCCGATGCCGCAAGACCGCCAAGTGCCAAAGAACCCTCGATGTAGGAAGGCTTCACATACTCTGAAACACATTGTTCAGATATCTTCTAAAGCAGATCATGGCTCCCTGTTGGCAGGGCTAAATTCGCTGACTTCAACGACCTCATCGTCGCAATCCGCGAGGCTGGACGTGGGGGTTCGCTTAGTGTGTACGCCTAAGGGAGGGGTTCACTGGGGCCCAGAATTCAGAGAGCCAGAACCAGGCCAACTTACACAGACACATAAACACAAACAATACATGCACGCAGTGACCCTGACACCAACACTATCACTAACCCCAATGCAAAATGCATAATGCACAGCGCATAACACAACATACACACACACGAACACAAGCACACACCAACACCATACACGCATATCTATCTCCGTCTATACGTATCTGTTTCTATACCTATATCTATACACACATTTCTATGTCTATCTATGTCTGTATCTATATATATATATACACATCTACATCCGCATTACAATCTATATCTATTTTTATGTTTAGATTTGTGCCTATACCTATACCTATATCTATATCTAAGTTTGCACCTATATATACATATACATATACCTATGCACACACATACATAGACGTACACAGAGACACACACACACACACAAATATATATATATATATATATACACACATATGTATATATATATATACACACACATACATAAATGTAGAATGTGATTACGCGTTCAGGCCGGCTCTGTTTCACCTCGAATCCCGAAGCTGTTTGATGTTCTCGGCGATCGCGGGGCTCAGGCTTCCGATGAGTGCTACGGCTGAGAGTTTCATCAAAACAAGGCGCTTCAGTGCGGAAAGGAGAGAGACTGAACGCGCACAGGAATTGGACCTCGGTAAACCGGAAAGCGTAAGGGCCGGTCCAAGGCCAGGTTGATATTTTCCTACATCCCAAGGCTTTCACCGTGAACTGCACAGGGAGATGACAAAAAAGCATCCATCAGATGCATGGAAGCCGATCCCTGCAAGGATGGCGACTTCTGCCGAGACGCGCTGGAGGTGCCTGCGTTGAGAATCGAAGGGGAAGGCCATGCTACAGTAGGAAGCGGGGACATGATGGCCAGGGGGCGAGGGTCGAGGTTTTCTAATCAGACGAAACACTCGGAGGTTTGAGACGGACAAACTTTCTGGAGGTGCTTTCCAGGTCTTGATTTCGCAAGCTGCTGATCTATGCCTTCGGCAAAGCATTAGAAGCCTCGCATGTGGTTGCGAGAGCTTCAGAAATTACCCGTGCTCGATCAGCGTGGCGCGAAGGCTTGCACTGGCTAAGCTCGCACGGTTGACACTTTCGCCCAGTTTATGGGCATGAAACTACGTTGCTGACTCATACAGTTCAAGACAGCGCTTCTTTTGCACGCAGCGCTCCTTCTGCTGACGCCCCACACTCCAGAATCTCAGAAGGGGTTGGCTGGCAGATGTAAGCCTTCAGAAACTCTTCAGGAGGAGGCCATGAAGAAGTTGGCGGAAGATCCGCGCGGCTCCTAGTGCTCTTCGTTCGGTTTTGCTTGGAGGCGCAATGAGCTCCTTCAATCTTGCCCTACCAAAAGTGCTCTCATAGAGGCAAAACAAAGGCAAAAGGGCAGGAAGCATTCATGTTTGCCGTGGACTGTCGATGTGGAGCCTCGTCCTTTGAACCAGCATCGCAGAGACTGTCCGACAGGCGAAAGGGCAGGGGGACTCGTGAAAAGCAAGGAGTGTGTGTTACGCTCTTCTTGGTGAGGTTGAGAGAGTGAGCAACATGTCCGTGTACCACTTGCTACCTGAGTCTTTCACCTAATGGCCAACACCCTTGTGACACTTGTGGTTGTCACATGCTTGCTGTGAGGTTCTTCGTGTCCCAGGATCCAGAAAGTGCTTGAACGGCCCAGACGCTTGCAGAGGGGCCGGCGGGTCGACAGGACTCTAAGCGTCTCGGCGGTTCTGTTTTTCATGCTGCCATTCTGGTCAGTGGCATCCCCAGCCCTAACCAACATCCGTTGCGCACTGGACACTGCAAATCGATCTAAGAGGGGTGGGGCCTGCAGCCAGCGGTGTTGTGCCGACCGCTTCGAAGCTTTCTGCGTTTTTCGCAGCCTTGCCAGATGCGAGTCATGTCAGCGCTGGAGCAAAACAGCGCCTTTCCGAGTGCATTCGATGCTGTGGCTGTGAGAAAAAGCATAGCGACATCCTATACACACTAATCCCCATAAGCCTGAGCCGCCAAACCCTGAGATCTGACTTGGAAGCCCCGATCTAAACTGCCTGTGAGCCGTGCTTCCATCCCGGTCCCTAAACCCTGAGCTTAAAGACCCCAAGCCAGACCGACGAAGCCCATGCCTCTGAGCACCTGCAGAGCTCCCTCTGCTCCCCAGCCCGCCCCAAAAAAAACAAGAAAGCTCCTCCGGGACTGGTGAATACCTCTGTCTCTGATGTCCCTCCGACCGGGGGCTCCCATCTGAATCATTCTCGCTTGGTGAAATCTTACAGTACAAGCCCGCTCCGGCCGATCTGCAGCCGTTCTACGGCGGAATGAAGTGAGCCCCGGGGCCTGGCGGGGCATCGGGAAGCCCATGGTCTCGGCCACCGGCTCCAGAGAAGGCTCTGCACCGCTTTGCATCTACATGTTCATATTCATCTGTTCTACGCCGATACGCATAGACAAATATGTGCCTGTATGTAATCGGTCTCGATAAAACATGTATCTGCATCTATGTCTATGTCAGTGTTCGTATCGAAGAGGCAGCAATTCAGTGGATGCCGAAATTTGCTTCACACGGTCTGCACAAGGCTTGAGGACAAACTCCCGCGAGCATTGTGTCATGTGAAGAGTGACGTGTCTCCAAGGTTCATCTTCGGTATCTCGCAGATGAGACTGCCCCTACCTTAGGTCAGCAGGCCGAGGCTTGCAATATGAAGGCAAGCAAGAAGGTAACAAATATCAGGTCGTGAAGCCTGGCCGACAATAGCGGTAATGTCATTAGCCTGTGTACTTGCACTGCAAGAATCGATCGTTGTGCGCCGAGGCTTGGGTTGCTCCTCCTGCCTGTCTTCAATGTGGCCGTGAAATTTCAAGCGAGTCCTGTGACTCGAGTCGCGCGATTACTGGAGCAGCTGAAGGACCAGCGTGACTTTTTGCTTTGGCAGGTGTTGGACAACCCGAACAGCCAATCTTGGCTGTTGGAAACCTTGCTTTTGTCAGTGGTTGTCTTACCGGTGCGGTGGGGTTGGCATGTTTGCAATCATCCCTGCGGATTCATGATTCAGGCAGGTGTTTCACAATAGATTTGATGAGCACTCCGGAAGCAAGTCAGTGTATTGCCGCATCCAGAAGCATGTGTGCGCTGAGCCTGCTGTAGCTTCAGAGAACCCGTCGTTTATGACAAAGCCACCTCCGGCTGTGAGGACAGGGTTGTCAAGCAGGGCGAGGATGAGGAGAAGCTCTGGCAAAAGATGTGCCTTGGCAATCATGGGCTCGACCTCAGCGGAAGCTCGTCGATTTCGGCTTCAGTGGTGGATTGACAGCAGGGGCGTGCTGACTACTGTAGGGGCATCTTAGACATCTGACGGAGGGGTGCATGTGCCTTGACGTGAGGCAGTGCCACTGCAAGAAGTCTCTGAAAGACTTGGAGGGCGGGATCACTCAGGAACAATCCAGGCCGGAGCGGCTTACCAGCTTTTCAGGCCTGCATTGCACATTTTCGTGCACTCGCGAGACAAACTAACAGTGGACTTTTGCCGGATTTTTGCTGTGCTCCATGGAGCATTGATTTATCAACCTGGTGTCTGCCGTATCCTGAGAGGTTGTTTCTGTGAGAATCCCAACAGTAGGTGCTTATGGCCATACGGTTACTCTTTTTGTAATTCGTAGTGTTACTCTTATTGTCGTCGGTACTGGGTTGCTGACAGTCGTTGCTTTGTGTTGTCATTACAAAAATGACGATGATGCTGACGAGCTGGTTTTGATGATGATGCCAACGCTGGCGATGCCCAAAGGCCGTGGCTGATTGGCATATTGCCGCTTTCACAGTGGGTCGATGATGATGTTACTTATTGTTGATGATGGTTACCATGATGAAGACGATGATAGATCGTCAATATAAGTACGTTTACCAGGATTCCTACCACCACTTGCATGGGTTGGCTGATTACTTTCACCGCCATCTCGTGCTTCTGCCTCTGTGCTACGTAGGTGTAGAAGTGTGCTGCAAGCGGGCATGGGATCGTTGGAGATGTGATTGGCACTGTCTGGGTACGTTGCTTTATGCTACGCGAATTCCCTTCCGAAAGTGTGCTGGGGGAATCCGATTGTCCGGGCTTTGGGTTTGATGGGCTGAGGGTTTCAAGGTCGGGCCGAAGTGGTTCAGGCTCCTGAAGCCCGACACTGCAAGCCCTAAGCGCGAAATCTCACGTAAACTACTCGCAACAAAGTCCTAGACTGTGCTGGCACTGGCTGACCCACACCGAACATCAACCTTAAAGCCCACCTCTCAGGCTCCCGGTCCTCCAGAGCGACCTGACGCAGATGACGTCCCAGAAAGCACAGCTGGAAGCAGAGAAGGCATCCCAAGGGATCTGTGGTCATACTGATATGAGAAGTTTGGTTATGATTATTGCCATTACAAGTATGGCAAGAGTCATCCCCGCTCTGATGCTACTACGACTACTAGTACTGCTCCCGCTTTTACTACTGCTAGTACTACGACTACGACTACGACTACGACTACGACGACGACGACGACGACGACGACTACTACTAATGCTACTACTACTAGGTATACGGTTGGTAAGTGACGCCAGTGTTTTCTTGGTCTGAGTGTGTTATTTNNGAGTTTTGAGCTGTTTTTACTTGTTGCAGGGGCGTGCGCCTTTTCTTTTGGTGTCTTCTTGTGTTAACAGTTCATGTTTTGCTGAACGCTATTATTTCGCGACTTTTGGGCTGGTTTGGGGGGGGGGGGGCGGGTCTGGGCAAGACGCGCCTTTTTT